TACGGACGTTTCGTGTGTGTGTGTGTGTGTGTGTATGTGTGTGTGTGTGTGTGGTGTTGCGTGAGGTCAACGAGGCAAGGAGGACAGATCAGCCGCACCGCATTGAACGATGAAGGTCGACTCTGGCGTCTGAACGCCGGCGAGTTCGAGTTCTGAAGTGAGAGTGAGTACCTACGAGACTATGGCTGCAGAAAAAGCAGCACCGATCGAAAACCAGTTCCGCTTGTCATGAGCAGCTCGCACCAGTTTTAGATCGATCGAGTGACGACGACTGCGGACGATGCGTCGCGTCGAAGTCGAAGTCGAAGGAAGAGAAAAAGGAGAGCGGCCTTCGTTAAAGGGTTACCTTGTTCGTCAGCGGACCGGTGAGGAGCGGAAACGAGGAGAGGGAAATTTAAGGACCGACGGAAGAAAGGCGCACGAAAACTTCGCAGTCCGGTGGACGAACGACAGCTCAGGCAGAAGGGAGCTTCGGGCGGGACTCAGCCTGAGAATGCATGCATAGGCGCGCCTGTTCCCTGCGGTGGCATCCATTAAGCGTTGTCCCTCAGCACCGCTCTTCGACGGATTCCGTGCCTCTCGCTGCTCGACGACAACTGTGTGTTTGCCCACCATCCGACCGACCTACCGACCGACCGACCGACCGACCGACCGACAGCTAGACGTACCCAGCGACTGACTGAACGCGCGAGCAAACGACGCCAGAGAGAGAAAGACGAAAGACGGCCGGCCGGGCCAGCCAGACGTGTGCGCAGTTTCTCTCTCCCTTTCACTCACACTCGTTTACTCGTCACTCAATTACTCCTCACTTGTTTCTTCGCTGTGGTAGGGTCAGTAGATCTTCGGCCCACTGCAGCCTGTGCTGACTACGACGAACACAAAGCGACCACTGCAACGACCGCATCTCGACCACCACTCAGCAACATGAGCGAAGAGGTGCCATCTGGCGACTTAGACTTTTTCAACGTCGACTCGGCCATCGACGCTCTGAGGTAAGCACTTCACTGTTTCTTCGAGTTCACTGCCATACTTGTCATCGTCATCGTAACTTGATGGCGAACTGAAATGAATATGAGCGAATGAATGGAATCGTATAATCGAATTCCGCTTATAGAGTCAACGGCTGTCAACGGAGTCTTCGACGCCAATTTCTTCAAATCTTCCACTGCCATGTCATCGTCCTAGTTTAAATTTAAACCAATTGTCCATAAAGAACGTGAAATCACGGAACCACGCTCCACTTGATTTCCTGTCCGCTACGGTGATTCTGTCTGTTTCCCATAAAACATCGTAACACTGCAGCAGTCTTCAACTCTGCCCTTCCATCCGTCGTTTGAAAGAACAGCACTAAGTCTGTAAAAGCTGATTTGCCCCGTTTCGGCAAGTTAGTCAGTTATCAAGACTCCGTTCACAGCGGGTAATTTTCAGTCGGTAGAACGTCGCACTCAGTAGCGAACAGTCCTGCGTTCTGTCCCCGGTCCGTTCACTCACTTTCCGAAGTTGATATATGAGTACCGCTCTCTGAAAACGCAACAAGGGACTACATTCCATGCTTGTCACATATATGCTGTCGATCACGCCTTTACCATGACTGATAGCATGGAAGTGGACATCGTTGCCCTACATTGATTTTAGGCAAAGAAGGTGCCAGAAATGACCCATCACGAAAGTGTAACGATGACCGATATTTCAACGGTTACAAACTTTCTATTTTCTTTTTTTCATCTGCTGAAACTTTCGATTGGCAGCTTTCACGGATGCATGATGTGAAATCGAAGCTGGTTCCTTGTTACAGCATGCAAGAGAATTAGTGCCAGCCGACAGTCAAGCGCTAGTTCATTTGAATACAGTTAATCATCTGAATCTTACGGTCTGTGGCATAATTAAGATTCTTCATAATCCGTTATCATCCTCTTATTCAGGGGGTAAAAGCAGCACAGGGTGTCACTCCAGGCCGCATCTCTCGCTCTTGTGCGATCGAATGATACTAAATTTTGTCTGGCAAAAACTGTCACTTATAATCTTCTCGGTCTTGTCAAGCAATCGTGTACGGTTCATTTTTATACAGTCGTAATTTCTTCTCGTCAGGTGATCGTAAGACTACCGTAGTTTCTGTATTTGTGTGTTTACCTGCGGTGAGTTTCAGTTTAGTGACAGTTTCCTTCAGTATTTAATCATAACACTGATCTTTGTGCCCAAGAGGTTCTTACAAGTCATGTGATGATTAATATCCATGAAATGAATTTTGAAAGAAAAGGAGGAAGATGTCTCTCCCTAGCATTTCCCGCTTTCGCGGAGGCTATGATGTGATACTGACCACTGTTTCGATTCTGTCTGTCAGGAATACCTTATTTCGTGAAATCAACGTCCGTTTCCTCACTTATATGGTAAACACAGTGCGTAATCTTTTGCTAATTTTTTCCGGTGATGATAACATTAATTTCATGCGGTTGAAAGGATGAAATTCGAGGGAACTCGAAAGGGATTTGATTCGATCTTTAGTTCTTCCACATACGAGTTTGGTATTTTATTTATTGAACTTTTTTGATTTCAGATCAATAGAAGTTACGTAATGCTACTCCTACCTCGACCACTGTTAGAGCACTGCTTCTTTACTTTTGCTTCGTAAAGTATAACTATGGCCACTACCATACAAAGGAAGATAACTGCCTTCATAACCGATTAGTTTCGAATTGATTGCATTGAAAGAATGACCGTCGTCGCACAATGAGCTCTAGGAAAGAGAGATTCATTTAAAGGTGTCAATCACTGAGGGTCGGTAAGTAAGTCTTTCTGAGGTTACTAAGTTTTCTTTTTGAATGGACAAACGGTCCAGATGGACACCAGGTTGTTTGATATCATGACCTATCCAAAGTCGCATTTCAGCTACTTTCAATCATCACTCGACACCCATCTGATATTGGCCTTGTTCAGAAAGCGATCCACGTATTAAACACGAAAAATGACTGAAAAGTAAAGGTGGTTTTTCAATATAAGTCTAGTCATACATCAATTAGAGTTTTGACCTCTTTTCGCAACCTTTATTTTGTCGCTATGGAGAGAAAATCAACGACGGGCAGCAGCAATGCCCATGACATGTAATAGGAAACTCTGGGCCACAGAGGCAGCGCTGGCAAACGTTGCGGTTAGGTGGTTCGGTTGTGACCTCATAAGCTCATTTACGTGAATAATCGTTGCGTTTGACGCTTTGCACCCGCAACACGTATGGTTTCAGGGTTTCTTCAGACAATGGTCCTGCTCGTTCGAGAAAACTTGCGCTTCCTGTAATGACTTGAGTTGCTTTAGAAGAAAGTCGGCCCCTTTGCCGTTTTAAGCGTTGATCATCGATTCCGCGAATCTGCTTGACACCCTTGAGCTGTCGACAGAATTTCTCTTAAAAATGACGCAGATTCTGAATATGCATTTTCAACGAAGTTCATGTTTCATTAAAGCCTAACAGCTGTAATGAACGTCTTTGGACTGAGTGCGATTTCCTCTGTTCCCGTGGCTTGGTCATGTGAATTAGTCTTGAATGATGCTCACTCCCTCAAGACTCGGTGACTTCCAAGATAAGCGAATAAAAAAATACTAGCATTTAAACATTGTAAGCACGTCCTGCCATCCCACGGTTGAAATAGCATTCACTGATCTTTCCCTCCACGTTCTTCTGTGCCACTGACAGAAATGACTCAAGTGTGATGAATTTCATACTACGAGATGGGAAGATAAATGAAGTGAACTTAAACAACTGTATATAACTTTATATAGATTTTCATGCAAAGATCATTCTATGCTTAATCACCGAGTGTCTCATTCATTCGTGTTCACTTGAAAGCGTCCACTCATTCGTTCGTTCCTCCACTATATATCTAACCATTCATTCCTTTATTCCTTTCTTCTTTCGTTTTTTCATTCATCCGTTCACTTTTTCTATTCATTCACGGTTTCATTTGCAAAGTCCACCATTGTTTTCTGTTTTGTTGTTAACATCATCTGCAGATTTGCTGAATCGATTCGATTTTTCTTAAATCGGGCAATCTTTAAACACCGAGTTCGACGGGGGGGGGGTTATGTGGAACCTCAGTTGTTCAATATACCGAGCTTTCTCAGTGAACATCCGCCGCGTGGCTTTGCGAAATGAGCCAGTCGTCATTTTCCATGAAACAGCTATTAGTCTGCAGTTGCTGCGATACGAGTTTGCACAAGTTATAAAGCCTTACCTGATTCTGTATCAATTTCGTGGTGGTCAGCCACTGGAACGTTTCCTTCTACAAAATCGTGACAATGTTCCAGGCGTGGACATCGAAACCGGAGATTTCTGGATGACCATTTGCCATAGCTGCTCTGTGATCGCAAATTCGAACTTTCAATGCTCTGAAGGCCTTTTCATCTAAATCCGTCCGCAACTCGTACAATGAACAGAGTAGTCTACTTTGCTGGCGGTGCCACGTGACCGACTACTGGATATCTTGAGGCAGTCTCACTGTGGTCCGTATGTTGTAGTGTCTTGCAACGTACCTGTCGGACAGATCGTAGTTAGTTCGATCGAGGGTGCTTGAGAACAACTTCGGTGTTCCTCGAGGATCGGTTCTCTGCCCTCAGCTCTTTTTCATCTATGTTGTTGATTTTTAAGTCGATTATTCACCTAGCATGTGCCTGGAATATGCTGACAACACAGTTGTGACTGCGACGACAGTAAACACAATAAGTCTGTTGGTTTATCACGCAGAGATGGAGAAGATAGAGGACTGGTCACTACTGGAGAACGGATTTGACCGGAACGTTAAGAACTGCTATGAGGACACTCGTACCTCGTGACTCCCAGTCAGTCATGCTTTCGGCGTCCTGCGCGGTTAATAAGTTCATCTCGGAGAAGAAGTGGTCCTTTTATCTAAGATTACATTTGCATGACTGCGTAACCTGATTGGGTCACATACAGCACACCATCTCCTAGGTTCAGTATGTGTCTTTCTTCCTCTTAAGGTTGTGCCACTCGGCAGCGCTGACGAGCCTTCTCTGACAGCTCTCGCACTCGTACATAGTCCCTGCAGTGACGTATGCGGCTCCGGTGTTTCTTTAAGGCACTCGCTGTTATACAGACCATGTTGTCCTTCGTCGCTGGCTAAAACTTTCTGACAGAGCAGCTGAGCGGATCATCTGATCCGTTGTGACCGACGTAGGTATCGCCACGGCTAATCCGTCCTATCCTCCACATTACGTGCTGGCCAGCTGCGAGTCAAGGGTGAAAGAGACGCACAACGAGTTTGTTCTGAAACTGAGTTCTGGAAAGTTCTGAAACTGAGTAATAAAAGTTCAAGCGCTCGGTTATGCTTCACCTCATACTCACTCGGAGGGAACTAGAGATATTGGACAGTTCAGTACGGCAGAACTTGCCCTGAACGAACTTTTGCATAATAATCTTGTTTTGCAGAGGGCATTGCTTTTTTGCCTTCCGGATCTGCAGTTGAAAGGCAGGCAGATCTTGTTGGTCACAGCAAAAAACTTGCATTGAAGCGATGAACAGGTTAACTGAAAAGGTGCGCATTCCTCCTTACATGTGTAGAAAAGTTTTGCTTGCCACATGACACTGTGCTGTCGATAAAGGTGGCATCGGAACGTTGAAGAGACAACGTGCTGTTTTGTATTTTTGTTGAGATTATCACCTTGACCATTTGTACAGGCAGGTGCTCTCTGGTTTGCTATGTCCCTGTATTCACCGATTTTCACCACTTTTGCCATAAGACATTGATCGCAGCATCGTAGAAGGAAGTAGTCTTCTCTGAAAACAGACCAGTGCCTAGTTTATTCTTCAATTTTGCATGCTGGCCTTCTAGTTAGTTAGCGTTTCGACTCCCACGTGAAAAGATCGTGTGCTGAAAAAAACGGTCGACCAATTTGCTTAACCGCACCAACCTCCATTCCTTAATTTCCACATCTACTGAAATAAACTATGCATAAAAGAGAAGAGGGTCACGTCTTACGTGATCCTGCCACTT